CTCACTCATCTCTGAACAGCTAGCGATCTCCTCCTCGCAGGATGAAAACACGAACTGCAAGGATGCAACGTGGAGAAATAACGCGCCGGTGTGCGCGTCGACGGCGTCACGCTACTTCCTCCTGCCAGGCAGGCTGGCCGCGACGCTCTAACACTCTCGGGACGCCAAGGTAGTGAATCTGTGTGTGAGTGTCTGTGTCTGTGTGTTCGCTCGCGCACCGCAGGGGGAAGGTGGTTGGCGTAGATTTAACAGGCCTGTTCTGCAGGCATACTATGATCAAATACGAACCATACGCCATATACGCTCCTCTCTATGTACAAACTATTTGTCATAGAAAGATCTTCCGTATGACAAAGTATTGTTGGATGTGTTGTCGCATGCATATAGGAGTTGTTAGGGAGCGCTATTATGAAGGTGCACAAGCCGTGGAAAATTTCAGCTGTAGAAGCGTGAACGACCCGTTGACTCGTGCCAATATTTGTCATAGAAAATCTTCCTATGAACATAGTGGGTCATCAGGAAGCGTGTATGCGTATTCGTATTTGTCATTAGTATGCCAGCAGAACATGTTGTGTATAAATTGTATGCCCGTTTGTGTACGAGGTTTATGTGTAGATCTTGTTGAAATAACTCCCTGGCTACGGAAGTACGAGTGGCTTTTTAACTCACTGACGGCGATATGGCACGTGGTGTACGGGCTTTACGACGTTCACGTATGCGTGCCGCGTCGCGTCGGCGCGCCGACGGTATACAGTGTGTGGTGTGTGCTTGTGGCGTCGCGCACCGCCATGTGTGCTTTCACGTCAGCTCTCCGCCTCCTCCATTTTTTTCTGTTGCCAAGAATTTTTTACGGGCTCTCCGCACGCCAGACTGCGTGCGACTGCCGCAAGTGTGACAGCCGCGTGCACCGCGCCATGGTTGCGTATTTCATTCTCCTCCGGCGTCGGTGGCGCCTGCTAGCGCACCTGCTAACGAGTAGCCAGCTCTCACTAAGAAATACGGTGAGTCATAATGTACTGTGTTGTCTTGTCAACACACTGACAAAATCTGTTTAGGAAAACTTGATTAAATGTATATAGGCCCTATGTGTCGTTTGTGGGTGAGTCCATCCCGTCCGCTTGGCGCACGTGCGCCTGCGCGTGCAGCGCGTGTATAATATATATATATATTTCCCCTATTATCTACTTCTGATATTATTGTATATATGATATATATAATATATATATATAGTAATATAATCCATAAACTAATTATGTAGAACGAGCGTGCCCTGTTTATCCTTGTAACCGTGAACACATGAATATGCGATTACTATTATGCCTTACTATGTTTTCCAGAGTGGTGCGAACCCAAAGATCAACGCTATGGCGTTGGACTTGGAACTTTTCTGCTCTCGGGCTAGTTGAGTACTTTCATAGTGATATTGTGTTCGCTGTTATGAAAGATTACTATACACACGCTAGCAGGTGTAGGTTAGCGCGATAATTCACGGACGGCAAACTAACCCGAACCATATCGGGAACGCAGTCATTTACGTCCAGCGGTAAGACAGGTAGGCTCTATCATCGTCTAGCATCCGTTATCAACACAACGCTCCAAAGTACGTGACAGGTTCAAATTCTACAAAAAACTAAACATTAAAGCTACTTTCCACCCGTTCCTTCTTATGCGTTTTTGTAGGTGCTGTATGCATTCTTGATATTCATCTATCATCTACCATCTATATCCTCTGTGTATTCAGTGTAGGTGTTTTTTTGTTCAGGTACTTCTCCGTCTCGTTGTTGTGTGAGTGTCTGGCGTGAATGAAGCAGTGAATATATATTATAATATGTAACTTTTTCCCCGTTACGTGGGACTCTCCCACTGTCGAGGCCACTGGATTGTAACACGTCGCTACAAGAACAAACAACACAACTCAAAAGATGAAAGTGTGTACGCCGGGAATAGGTCACGGGCTTTATTCCGCTGCTGGTCAACCGACCAAGTGGGCAAATAAAACGGTAGCAATTCCTCGGCAGCGTAAGGCCCGAGTATAGCATACAAGATACAACTAGGGCGGGCAAGGCCTTACCAACAACGATCCTGGCTTGTAGAAAGCGCCAGTCCTTGGCGCAGAGATCGGCGGACTTGCTTCGTGGCTGTATCTTGCGTGTCTCCTCTCCGACGGATTCGCTCCATGGTGATGTCTGCCGCGTTCACTAGGCAGCCTGCCGTGAACTGAAGCTGAACATCACGCTGAACTGACGAACTTGGCTGCTAACTGAGCTTCTAAACTGAGCTTTCCCAAACTGCCGGTGCTCTGGGCCGGAACGTTATGTTATACGGCCCAGAGCAGGCACGTCCATGCACACACGTGACACGGCACGTCGGCTTCAGCCGTGTCAGGTAAGTCAGCTTCCGACGTGACCGCGCACGCTGCTGTTTAGCCCGCTGACTCGCACGAGCCGCTTTATGACGGACACGTGGTCAGGCTTCAGCCCGTGACAAGCCAACGTCGGCTTCGGCACCGACGTACGCCGGCTTCGGAGCGTGACGCCACAGTCGAGTTCACGTGCCCGTCGTTCGCTTCGGACCACGCTCGTGGCCAGCACGTCATTTTGCCCTTCCATCGGGGGTGAGTCCCCTCACACCCGGGGATGCTGGGAGCGTGCCGCGAGAGGGCAGAACGCGTGGATGTGATGCTGCGGCAAGACCGAAATTCGTTACACTACCCCCAACTCCGGCGGCCTTCGAGTCTCGCCCGCAGAAGATTCGACAATGGGGGCCAACGAAGCATTCGGCGCAGCCACACCAGTAGCGCATTCCGTACTCAGCGGCTTTTCCACCGTGGGAGTACGACGTTTAAGCACGCCGTCCTTCTCCACGCCGCGTTTACCCAACGCGGGTCGTACCATCTGGCTACGACGCGATCAATTTAGCAGTGCGCTGTCTTCGCGTCGAGCCATTATCGATATCAGTACAGAGCAATGGTTTTTGAGGGTGCTCCGCTGTAATGCCAAGCCTCGGGGCGGAGGTAGACGACCACTGTGTACCACCAATCCTGCCGGCCCATTCCCGCAGCGGCGACGCGAACCGGAGCCCTGACGGGCGGGGGTTGTGGAATCCGCCGTCGGCGTGACTGCGGTACGCTGTAATGAGCACTCGTAGCGTCGACGAGGAAGCGAGCCAGGCCACCTGTACCGATTGCGTCTAAGGAATGCAACCTTGGGAATAGCGCGGCGTACGTAGGTTGTAGGGTACTGGCCAGCAACAACTGCTACACGTAGCCACTTATTGAGGTGGGGTTACAGACTGGCACAGACTTACCAATAGACCGCGTGGGCGGTGAAGTGGCACCCGTCTGACATCTCTTGCGTAGCCTCAGCACCTGGAGGAGGGTAATCCTTACCCGATGCCTCCCTGTCTTCTCGCTCGTGACGGGTAGCGAACACATAAAGGATGCTCCGGAGCTCGGGAATACGCCCTAAAGATCCCACCTCCGCCTTGGGACATTACGCCTCCGTGAACATGCCGGAAACCGTTGCACAGACTGAGCCAATGCAGCGAGTACGCCATGCTCCCCTAGTCCTTCGCTACAACAGAGAGTCCAACTCCCCTTAGCCTCAGCTTGACGTTCACGGCAGATTCGTCGGGCACATGAGACGGTCGCATCTGCTGTTGCCACGTCGATTCCCTCGTGCTATCGTGGTTTACCCGGGAAATGCTTTCTCGGAATGGGCGGCTTCCCAGAAGCGGCCAAACGTTGCCGGAGCATATCCCCCAACGTCAAGGTTGAGGTCGTCGGACCGCTACCACGACTAGGTGGGTCAGTCTCCTGGCCTGCATCCAGCGAAGCGTCCCTTTGCTCCCGTGTTACTAGGAGCGACCTTGCCGAGGGATGCTCCAGCTTCCCAAGACCAGGCACGTAGTATCGCCACACCCAGGTTGGCCCGGCGGAAAGGCTGCCGGTTTGACACGTTTGTCATAAATCGTTTCTGCCTCTCCGCCCGCTCTTCCAATTGCGTACGCGCGTGCTGATCGCGCTGGCACGAATGGACTGTCTCACGCCATCACATCCTCTACCGCAGCCGGAATACTCCGAGTCCCGGTAAGCAGTCGAACATTAGGTTCCACCGGCGATCCGACTCCACGAACGGAGACATCATAGGTTTCGGTACTCACCCCCGTACCTCATGCTGAGGGTGTACTACGGTAGCGCTGGGCCATCGACGAAAAGGGAAGGTGTACGTCCCAGTCGTTTTACTGCGCGCGGCACTTTGCGTCTAGCGTCAAGTGGCGGCACTTCCGGGCACCTATCGTTCAACATCCGGCGAGCTCCGGCCCGTACCAGGTTGCAAGGACTCGGCGAGAGTTTTACGATTCCGCGTGTCCGTCATCCTCCCGCCGTGCAGAGGCTTCAAGATTCGCTCTCCCGCAGGCAGCGGCGGAGCTATGGCGGAGGAATCTGGTGTCCTCTGGGAGGCGTACTCGGGGTTCCTACGTCTTGATAGAGCAATCTTCCGCGTAAGCTCTTAGACGTCCCGATCGTCGCAGTACACTTTTTCCCTCCCAACGACTGCATCGGCCAGCACAGAGTACGGGAGCTGGTCCCACGTACTCGCTGCTTCGGGCTGGCGGACAGTCCGCCGGAGTGGTTAATTTTCCTCTTGCCATTGCGCAGCTCGCTTCCGTCTCCAGACGACAGAGCGTTTCATTCAGCAAGGCGCTCGGCTTCGTGGCTGGCAACCCGTGGTCAACGAGGGCTCGAGACACTCGTCCCCAGTCCTCCGACTTACCCGCGATCGCCGCCACATTTTTACAGCGGATGGCCGCCCAATGGCTAATGCGCCCAACACTCGCCCGCCTCTGGATGCCTCATCATTCGCCTCGGTGTCGGCCGTGGCCTCCGGGGGTTCGGGGTCAAGCCCCACGAGTTCTTCCCGGATTAAAATTCCGCAGCCAGCTGTGTAGAACCCGGAGGTCTTCGAGTTCAAGCCCATCTTCTCAAGTT